ATTAACTTGAATAGGCGCTTGCAAAGTCTAAAATGCCCTGTATTGAGCTAATAAAATTCCCCCCCAAAGCTTTTCTCTGCACCTTGGATTTGGTTACATTAGAGATCCAATTACATCTTCTAAGGTAGAGACTGGTAAGAGTGATATTAAGAGAGGCAGTCAAGAAAAAAAAAAGGTGGACTCTGGACGGTCTGTCTGGGTCCCAATACTGACCCTACGAACTTGTTAGCTGTGTGACCATGGAAAAGTGACTTAACCTCTCTATGCTCCTGTCTTTTTACCTGCAGAATAACAATTCACAGAGAATTAAATGAGATAGTACTTAGAAGGTGCCTAGAACAACATTTGGTACACACTAAATGCCCAATAAATATTATTGTTATTTATCATGACTGCTGTCAAATGCCCAATAAATATTATTGTTATTTATCATGACTGCTGTCACTTTAGCACAGCACAGTGTATCTGTTCTCCAGCCCAAGTTAACGCTAATCATTTTCAAAATATCGTGACCAGAATGGATGGGAGATGGCACTTTCCAGATTATGATGTAATTAATCAATAACTATATTACTTATACTGAAAATACAAGTCCAAACACAGAATTGTAATTCTGTGACAATGTGTACAACTTAGCAAGCATAAACACCAATAATTTCTGTTGAACTAAAGATTCATCTTGATGGAATAATAAAACAATATTGTTTTAGTCCTACTAAACTATTTAATACCATTTTCTAGGGCTGACATAAAGGAGACGTCTATAAATGCTTTGCTCAGAATACTTTTAGATCAAAAATATTCCCTTCAACCCCTGAGGACTTCCAAGCAGAAAGCCCTCTAAATTTCATCTAGTCACTCAATTTTACTTTAGAAATGGCATGCACATTCTGGAAAGTAAAACCCACCTTAAGAATCCATCGAGTTATTTTCACCAATTTCAAAAAGCACTCTAATGTCTATGTAAATGTCCTTTATAAATTTTTAAACCCCATGAAAGTTTTACAGACACTGCTTTTTTGTAAGGCACAAAATAGCAGAAACTACTGAAATTTCGATACTGAAAGATCTCTAAAGTCCCTTTTAACTCAAGAACTACAATCATTTATATTAAAAAACCCACTCATTTCTCACTGATGAAACCTTGAGCAATCTCATACATGTACACGGCGCCGACTCTGGAAGGCCTTCCCCATCCAAACCCACCACCCCTCAAAGGCCACCTCTAGTCCCGCTTCTCCCTCCCCACCTCTCCTTCTCTGATGACCATCACCTACGCTGAATCCACATCTTCCTGTGTCCCACCACTAAGGCACCAATACCAGAGAAGACCTATAATTGGCTTTGGGACATGGTTAGAAATGACGAGATTTTCCTAACTGTTTCAGATATGTGATAGGTAGAATTCACAGATGGCCCTTAAGATTCCTGGCCTCTGGTGTATACACCCCTTCTCCCCATTTTTAAGCAAATGCACCACTAATGTACATACCACTGTGAAGGGATCTGAGATATATTTAAGGGATTTGCAATATATATCTTATATTTGACATATAATTAAGGTATCAAGTCAGCTGATCTTAACAAGAGACTATCCTGGTGGGCCTGCCCTAATCACACAAGCTCTCTAAAGAGTCAGAGGCAAGAGAAGTCAGAGACATTTGAGGTGTGAGAGAGATTAGACACAAAAGAGATTCTCCATAGCTGGCTTCAAAGATAAAGAAGACGTGGTACATATATACAATGGAATATTACTCAGCCATAAAAAGGAACGAGATTGGGTCATTTTGTAGCGACGTGGATGGACCCAGAGTCTGTCATACGGAGTGAAGTAAGTCAGAAAGAGAAAAACAAATATCGTATATTAAGGCATATATGTGGAACCTAGAAAAAGGGTACAGAGGAGCCTATTTGTGGGGCAGGAATAGAGATGCAGACGTAGAGAATGGAAGTGTGGACAGGGGGTGGGGGGAAGGGGGGTGGGATGAGTTGGGAGATTGGGATTGACATGTATACACTACCATGTGTATAACGGATAGCTAGTGGGAACCTACTGCATAGCTCAGGGAGCTCAGCCGGGTGCTCTGTGGTGACGTAGATGGGTGGGAAGGGGAGAGGGTGGGAGGGAGGTCCAAGAGGGAGAGGATATATGTATACACATAGCTGATTCACTTCATTGTACAGCAGAAACTAACACAACATTGTAAAGCAACTATACCCCAATAATAATGAATACATAAATAAATAAAGATGGAGGAGGCCATGTGGCTAGGAATGTGGACAGTGACAAATCGACAGCAAGGAGACAGGGACCTCAGCCCTACCACTGCAAAGAACTGAATTCTGCCAACAACCTGAGTGAGCCTCAAAAAAAGATTTTCCCCCAGAGCATCCAGGCAACAAACTAGCCCAGCCAACTCTTTGATTTCAGCTTGGTGACACCCTGAGCAGGGAACAAAACCACTCTTGTTGTGCCAGGACTTCTGACCTACAGAACCAGGAACTCATAGGTGTTACTTAAGCTACTAAATTTGTGGTCATTTGTTACGACAGCAATAGAAAACTAATACAATATGTGTAGGTCATTCTCTCCTCCTGGAAGGATTTTGGGATGGCAGGGACAAGCTATAATCCCTTGAAATGTCTTAAGCATACTGCTGGAGACATAACAGAAATAAATTCTTGCTGACTGAGCTCAACTGAAACGGGACAGAAAGGCTGAGGAGGGAACACAGATAAGGGTCAATTCAGGAAGACTCCAGACAGCCCGCAGGGCAGCATTGCGCAAATGCCTGCATTTGCTGTGGACAAGGGAACTAGGATGGAATGTTATGTTAGAGCAGGAAAAAAAAAAAAAACAGCTAAAACTCCTTTCTGGAGATAGAAGTCAAGTTTTTTTCCTTCTTCATGAGATGCTGAGGGTGGCAGTCAGGTAACTGTATACCTCATTAGTTAAATGCCAGCTGGGAAGAGGAGAACAAAGAAAAGAATTCACCTTTCCAGGGAATGCCCTTCTCTTTCTAGCCTGAGGACTCGCTGAGGCTGATGAGATGGAGAAGACCCACAGGGAGTACCTAGGCAGCCCATCCCCTCACTGAGAGCTCTAAGGCCACCAGAGTTGTGATTTCCACCAAGCTGGGTTACTGGGAATTCCCAGCATCCTGAAGGCATTCGTCCACCCTCTGAAGCCTGCTGTGGAGGAGCTGATGATCAATGCTACCTTTAGGGTCAAAACAATCATTCCTCCCAATGTGTACTGACTACATTCCTTGGTCTCAGCATAGCTGGATATCAACATGCACCGTGCACATACTGGGAGAAAGTACTCGCAATGCATATATCTGGCAAAGGACTCCAACCAATAACATATAAAGAACTCCTATACATTAACAATTTAAAAAAAACCAAAAAACAACAACACAATGAGAAAAAAATCAGGCACTTCACAGAAGATATCGGAATGGTCAAAAGCAAATTAAATAGTGATGACATCATTAGTAATCTGAGACACAAAAACTAAAACAAAGAAATACCATGACACAACCATCAGAATGGCTAAAATGAAAGACTTGATGCCAAGTATTGTTGAGGATGTAGAGCAACTGGAACTCGCATACCCTGCTGCTGAGGATGCACAATAGTGCAACTACTTTGGGAAATACTGTTTAACAATTTCTAAGTTCAATGTGGGTCTACCTCATGATCCAGCAATTCCACTACTATCCATTTACCCAAGAGAAATGAAAGCATGTATCTACCCAGATTTTTGGGAATGTTCAGAAGAGCTTATGCATGAGAGCAAAAACTGTAAACAACTCAAATGTCCATCAGTTGTGGTATATTTACACAATATACTCTATGTACTGATACAGGTAATAACATTAATGAATAACTCTCACAAACATTTTTTCACAGAGAAATCCAAGCAGGCACAAGAGAATATGCTCTGTATGATTCCATTTATATTCTGCTCAAAAACGCAAAGTCAGTCTATGGTGAGAGATGTCAGAGTACTGGTTACCTCTGGCAGGGAGGGAAGAGAGTACTAACTGGAAAGGGTCGCCAGGGAATATTCTGGGGCTCTTGGAAATGCTCTCTATCTTAATCTGGATGGTGGCCACATCGGTGGATACATATGTAAAGTCATTGATCAGTACTCTTAAGATTTGGGCATTGTACTGTATGCAAATCATACATCAATAAAGTATTTTAAAAGGAAAAAAATGCACTACCAATTATCGACGGAGGAAGCCATAGACAGTTAATATCTCTAGAATGTCGTTCTGTGTTTAGGATGCCACGCCATGTGTTGGAGAGCACAAAATAACACACTCCATCTTTGCTTTCTCATTGCTTTAAATAAAATGAAGCAATTGCAGAGCCCCGATCGCCCAGATGCTGTGAAGTCTGTGCCAGGCGCTGTGCTCAGAGCTTAGGACCATGATCTCATTGAATCCTCATTAACAACCGCATGAGGTAAGACCAAATCCACTTTGGGACAGGGAAACTGAGGGTCAAAAAAGCACTTTTCTGAGGATGAGGGAAATCATCTGTATCAATACATCTTTGTGTTCCTCCACACCGTTCATTAGGGCGCTCTGCACCTCACAGGCACTCGGTAAATGTCTGCAGAATGGACGAAGGTGAGACGGGAGAACTTCTGGTTGACTGAAACTCACATAAAGAAAAGTCCCGAGCCTCGCTCTAACCGCGACCCCGACGGGAAGGGGCGTCCCTACTAGTAAGGCAATAACAACCTCCCCACCTCCCCAGTTCTCCTCATGGACAATGCAACGCGGGTCATTCTTTCACCAAACTCCACGTATGCAAACTAAGGGGAAAAAATGTTTCATTTGCACCAGACACCTGCGTTTACCCAAGAGGTACGACTGCAGGGCCCCGCCCACGCGAGGCGCCCCGCCTCCCAGTGCCCCGCCCCGCAGCCCGGCGCACGCGCTCTCCACCCCGGCAACGCGCAGATTAGGGGAGTGACAGCGTACCTGCGCAAAGCCAGAGGTGGACACCTTTTTCTTCTTACTGGCGGTATAGCCCCCGGCGCTGCTGCCGTTGTGGAAAGGACTGGCCGGCCTCTTCTTGCTGTTCCGGGCTATCCCCGGAGTGGAAGTGGTGGCCACAATTGGAATTTGAGCCGCCATTCCTACCCCGAGTCTTCCTCCTACCCCCTCCCCACTTGGTCCCAGTGCAGGCCCTGGAACTTCCGGCCCGCCGTTACTTCCGTCTTAATGCTTTTGAAAACCCGGCCTGGACTCCGAAAGCTTTCGTTGACTTCTCTCGGCCAAATGTAAAAGGCGGAGCTCGGAGCTGTCTCTTCCTTCCGGGCGGGAGGGCGTCTGGCGGGCGGAGTGCTGCTGTTCACGAGCTCGGACCCGGGCACGTGCTTGGACGTCCCCAGGGATTGAGGATTAGAACATCCCGTGATCTTTTTAAAACAACTGGATTTTTAAAAAGTTAATCACCACGTTGTCTCTTCTCACGTTAAGTCAGAAGATTGATCGCTTTTGATGTCTCTAAGTGTAAAGGTAAGGTCATTCTCTGTGGACTAGACAGACCGCCAGACTGCCAGCATTCCCCTTAGTCGCGGCCTTGTCGCGCAGAAGTTTGTGTACCCTGGTGCCCAGATGGATTTGAAGGGTAGAGTGGTTCTTAACCTTGAAGGGGTCACGGACCCCTTTGAGCATCTCAGCTCCCCTTTCTGCCCCCCCCCCAAATTATACAGGCGCAGACAAAATCTTACATACAGATTTCAGCAGTTCACAAATCTGCTAAAGCCTATTTATGAACTTCAGTGGAACACCCCTCCCTCTTGTTATTTGCCACATGATACTGTGTACTTCTTCAAATCTTCATGACATAAATTACATGGTTTATAACTGGTTGGTTCCTTTCTTATTTGGTTTCTGCTAGAAGTAAGCTCTAAAAGGGGAAGGCCAGTTATGTTTTGCTTACTTTTCTTTTCCAGGTTCACGAGTACCTTGCAAGTCGTTGGTACATTATAAGTATTTTTTAAATGAAGTAATTAAAAAATGAAAACCCCTTGCATTAATTGGTTGAAGCTTCTGTGTTCTGATACAGGAAAGTAGTATTTATGAATCTGTGTACTTGAAGGAAATAGGCTGCAGAATGACTTACAGGTGAGAGAAAGAGAATAGGAAACCAGTAATAATGTTACTGACATCTTTTCTCCTTTGGAGAAAGGAATAAGCTACCAGTGTTGAAATGTTCCCTCCTGTACTGCAGTCTCCACCCCTATCTTTCCCTAAATCTAGTCTTCCTTATTCCTTATCTCAAAGACTGACATCTCCCAACAACTACTCACCTAGCCAGAAACTAGGTGTTGATCCTGGCTTCTTGGGTCCACTCTCTTCTCATTCCAGTCAGCTCCCCCCACTCACTTCTCTTCCTATCCTGGTGAATCCATCACCCCTCATCTGGATCCTTGCAAGACACCTCTTGCAGCCTCTTGTTTTGTTTAATTTCTTTTTTTTAACTTTAATTTTTATTTTATATTGGAGTATAGTTGATTTACAATATTGTGTCACAGCCTCTTGATGGAAGTTTGAGCTTCCATCTTTTCCTAATCCTCCCTGACCCCAGGGCACTCTTCACACTGGCTGCCAGAATGGGCTAAATCACAAATCTAATCGTGCCACTTACTTTCTTACGTTCTTCAGGGGTCTTTTACCTTGGCATATAAGGTCCTTAATAACTGGGCTCTGCCCCCTTTTCTTGCTCCATTCCCAACACTTAAGTCCCTGCAGCCAGGGACTAACTCTTGCCTAGAGTGTACATCATTCTCTTAACTCATCATAGTTTTTTTCCCATTATTTCCTCTCCTAGGAATGCTGCAGTTCAGATGCTACTTCCAATGAAAAGCTCCCTGCCACCTGATGCACCTTCCTTTCCTTCCCCTTCCCCTGCACCCACCCTGTGCATGCGTGTATGAGGGCATTGAACACAGCGTGTTCTGCTGGGCACCTTTCCATAATCCCTTAGGAAATTCTTCTGAGTTCAAACACCAATCCCCTACTACGGAGGAATCTGACAAGTGGGTGTCTCACCATCTGGCTTCCCAGCGCAAAATTCAGTCCTGATTTTGCCTAATCCCTTTCTTCCCGAACTCCTTCCCTTGGGATCTGGAACATCACCATTCTTTTATTTTCCTTTTTCCTAACCAACCACTGATCCTTTCTTTGACAGTTTTTTCCTTCTACCAAATGGTTTCTAATCACACTATAGTTTTTTCAAAATATTGGTTATGTGGGACTTCCCTAGTGGCACAGAGGTTAAGACTCCGTGCTCCCAATGCACGGGGCCTGGGTTCAATGCCTGGTCAGGGAACTAGATCCCACATGCGTGCTGCAATTAAGAGTTTGCATGCCGCAATGAAGACCCAGCGCAACCAAATAAATAAATATTAAAAAAAAGAAATAATAATGAATAAAATTTAAAAATATATATATATATAGGTTATGTAGACACATCCTCCCCAGCAGATATACATTTTTTAAGTTTCCCAGGTGATTCTAATGATCAGCCAGGCTTGGAACCAGCTCTTCCTTCTCAGTCCTTACATGTCGAGGGTTCCTTGTTGCTTGGTCAAAGGCCCTCTGCCCTCCTCAGTCTATACTTTCCCCAGACATTTCACCAACTCATGGGGCCTCAGGTACCATCTAAATGCAGATCAGGGACTTCCCTGGTGGCCCAGTGGTTAAGAATACACCTGCCAATGCAGGAGACACAGGTTCAACCCCTGGTCCGGGAAGATCCCACATGCCGTAGAGCAACTAAGCCCACACACCACAATTACTGAGCCTGTGCTCTGGAGCCCACGAGCCACAACTACTGAGCCTGTGCGCTCTAGGGCCCACGTGCCACAACTACTGAGCCCACCTGCTGCAACTTCTGAAGTCCGCACACCAAGAGCCCACGCTCCTCAACAAGAGAAGCCACCGCAATGAGAAGTCTGCACACTGCAACAAAGAGTAGCTCCCGCTTGCCACAACTAGAGAAAGCCTGTGCACAGCAACGAAGACCCGAGGCAGCCAAAAATTTAAAATATATATATATAAATGCAGATCACTTTCAGATTTGCATCTCTTATCTGGATTTTTCTCCAAAGATGCATAGCCAGATATAAAATTCCCTGCCTAGATATAAATTCAGATGCTTATCACACTCAGCATCTCACACTCAGCTTGGCAAAGGCAGAATCCATCCTCCTCCTTGCTCCTCCAAACACACTCCTCCTTCAGCACTTCCTATCTCAGCAAATGCCACCATTATTCACCAGTTGTTCAAACTAGAAACCTGGGTGTCATCCTTGACTCCTCCCCTTCGGTCACCTCCGCACTGTAACCCCACTCCAGCCACCATCATCTCCCTTGAGGACTCCTACGTTGCCTTTTTATCTTTCTGGCTCACCTCTGGTCCCTCCAACCCAGTTCCCACATACAGTTCCATATGACCTCTTCAACAATACAGATGTGCAATGTTTAGATCGTGCCCTCTACCTGAAACCCTTCAGTGGCTTCCCATGTTCCCTAGAATGAAGTCCAATGTCCACAACATGGATTTACAGGCCTTCAGAGAGCTGCCCACCTCTCCAACCTTGCCTCTCACCCAGCTCTCTGCACTCCAGTCCAGTTTTCACTTTTGTCAGTTCCACCAACCAGCTGTGTTCCCTCCTCCCTCAGGGCCTTTACCCATGTTGCTACTGCTTCTGCCTGGAAGCTGCTTTTCTCCCCAAACCACCCTCCTAGGGTCTCATTTATTTCCACCCACTTTTCCTGTCTTGGCTGACATGCTATTATTTTAGCCTTCCCCATCCCTCTGGTTTGGTTAAAACTCCTGTTCCGCGCTCCCATCACTCTTGGTCATCTGCTGTCAATTAAGCAGTTGTAGTATGCCCAGCCCCGAGGATAGAGACAAGGACAAACAAAGCAGAACAGTCCCTGCTCTCAGCAAGCCCCCCCTCCCCCGTCTAGCAGGGGAAGAGAGACCATGGATCTGTCTTTTCCGCTGGACAGAAACTCCCTGTGGGCAGTCGCCGGAGTCATCAAGGATTGAGTGGCAGAGCAGTGACAGACGATTAGCAATGAAGAGGGTGAGAGAAATGCGGGAGCACATCCACTCAAGGAGGAGAAGCTTTGGGCTGGGGAGAAACATGTTCCACGTCCACCTTGGTGGCACCATCACTGCACACCGTGAGCACAGGCAGGGACTCCACACGCGCTGCCTCAGGTGTGGCTCACATGCTTCCATATCTATTGCTGGAGATAAATTAACAGCGTGGGTCCACTTACACAAGGAGTTTTTTCAATAAATACATACTACAGTACTATACAATCCTCGGCTGGTTGAATCAATGAATGTGGAACCGTGCATCTGGAGGGCTCACTGTAAAGTTATACGCAGATTTTCAGTTTTATGTGGGTGGGCCCCCAACCCCCATGTTGTTCTAATGTGCTTGTTAAGCTACCCCATCTCACCTGAGATGTAAAGCATCTACTCAACTGTCTCATCAATTTCAGGAAAAGTAGTGGGTATTGGGATCATGCTATTGGATGGAAGACACACTGCCCCCTTCTCTTGATAACTTGTGTGAAGTACAATGGGCGTTGCTCACTGTATGAACAATGGCTGCTCCAGTTGGTATGGGACTCCTTGATGATGCGAAGTAACCTTGAAGCTGCAGTCAAGACCCTCAAAATCCGCAACCCACAGCCGCCACGAGAGGAGCAGAGCGTGCAGTGCCTGTTCATAGGGATGTGCAGGCCGAATTAGCCCCACTACAACCAGAAGCTGACGGAGCCCCTCAGAGATGATCACAGTCTCGTCTGGATTTGTTCTTTGGACATCACCTCTCGGGAACCTTCTCTGATCTCTGTTCCCACCTTTAAACCAAGTGCGATGTCCCTCAAGGCGGCGCTCCCAGGGGCCTGTTTCCTCCACAAGACACCTTATGTCATGCGGATTGCAGGCTCACTTGGGCAGAGGCAGTTTCTGGTCCATCACTGTTTTCCCGAGCCTTGCAGGCCCTAGTGATGATTGCGGAGGACCTTATTGTTTAAACGATCCTTGTCTAGGAGAGAGCTCAGGCCAGAGAGGGGTGGGCCGGGGCCCTGGTTCACATAGTTGTTTGCTAATTTTTCACCTGACAGATGCATGGAAATATTTAAAGGTGGGAAAGAGAGAGAAATTGAAAATAGCCCTGATGCTAACATTTGCAGAGTCCAGGGCAAGAGTACAAATGGAGGCCTACTTACCAGGTGTCTTGCTATTTACATGCACAAATCAAGCTAATGAACTGTAAAATAAAATACCTTCTACCCTTCTACCTCAGCAAACATACCTTCACATCTCAGAAGACCAGAGCTCAATTTAGAATTCTCAGATTCCGTGGAGTTCTGCTGCAGGCGTGGTGGCACGCGGACAGCCATGCCAGCGCCGGGCCCCCTCCCTTTCACCCCTTGCTGCACTGGGCATCATGAGGCTACACGTGTGCACATGTGTGGTAACCTGCCCATCTTCTCCCTGACCCTCACAAACAGCCTCCTCTTTACCACGCCTGGGCCTGGGGGTGTACACGTGGAGCCCAGGGACGAGGCCCACAGAGGCCATCTGGGGCCATTTGGGCAGGAGGTCCTGGGGTCCCTGGTATCCAGAGCACATTCAGGAAGGGGGGGGTGGCGAGAACCAGGGTGGACGTGTGTCCCTCCCTCCACTGGGAGCAGAAGGGCATGGCCAGGAGAGGGCCCTCTTGTGCAGGCCAGGGACTCGCCTGCTACTGTGGTCTGAGTCCTGAGAAGGCCTCTATGAGGAACATGAGTGAGGGGCAGGCTGCTGCTGACCCTGAAGCTAGCGGGGTGGGGGAACGACAGGCAGAGGCGGGTCCAGGTGGAGAGCCGTATTCAGATGAGGTGGCAGGAAGTTAACATGATTTCCATCCTTTAGCCAGGGTTTCTCCGGGAAGGGGGAGGTGACATCTTCTGCTCAGTGGCAGGTGGGGGCCGGAGGCTTGGAGAAGGGTCACAGGAAAGTTTGGAAAAGGCTACGTTCAATAGTATCATGAGAAAGGACAGATAAGGAAACTTTCAGAGGAAACTGGCCGCGCCACAGGCCTGCTGCGGCTGCCACCTACCCGTGGGCAGGCTGCGCACAGCTCAACTCCAGATGCACCTTTTACATCGACGACAACGTGATGGCGACCCCTCAAGCCGGGCACTGAGTCAGGCATTGCACCTCCAGCGCAGTCACACCTGGCGGCTCCAGGCTCACGCAATCTCCTCTCTGAATTTTGACCTCAACTGTTAATATTGCTTTGCAGAGTCTGAATAAGAGAAAATAGTTTTAAGGGCCCCCATGCTTACTGTAATTACTCCGTAAAGCCATGCCTATTCTATAAACACTAATTTAACATTACAAATGTGGCCCCCAAACGCTGACAAAGTTGTCCCCGAATAGTGGGGTACTTCCCTTTAATTCTGAGAGCCAGGATCATGCTCCCGGGATGGTGTTTTCCTCATCCTTGTTGCCCCTGTAAACCCCCTCTGAGCACTGGTCCTTCTCTTGTCTCTCGAGGCCCCACCCATTACTTAAAATGAATTATTATTTTAGCATTTACTCTTTGTGCATATTATAGAGAAAGAAAACAATTGTAATTACTATAATTCTGCCATCTCTGAGGTTGCCTCCCTATTTTGCTCTCTGCAAACCTCAAATTTGCTAATCCCCAGGCTGTGACAACACCTCCCTTCTTAAACTGGCAGCCTGCTTCAATTTTTCCCCCCGTGTCATTGTTCCTATTTCTGCCACTACGTTGTTGAGTTTTGTTTGCTTTCATTCACACATGACATTTTCTTTTCCGTCAGCTGTACTTGTACTTTGAGATAGTAGTGGAGACAGTCCAAAAGCTTTGGGGACAGTTGGTTGTGGAATAAAACAGTGATGATATGGAGACTCGGGGATGTTCATTTTCTAAGCTTGCAAAGAAATCCTCAAAAGACTGAGGAGCGGAGGCCTCCTCTCAGGTGCCTTTTGTTCCACGTCTTCACGAGTCATTGCTGCTCCTGCCCCAAGGCAGGTGAACCAGCCAGCCCAGGTCCCAGAGTGTGCCTAGCCCTGGGGACAGGGGCAGGGCCAGAAAAGCGCATGGCCGGCGGAGGGAGGGAAACCCATTCCAGGCAAAGGAATAGCATCGGCCACCTTCCTCATCGGTGGAACACTGGGGAGGCCCAGAGACCTGTAGGGCCCAGAAGCCTCCAGCCCAGCCTTGTCCAAGGAAGCCTGGCTTGCTGATGCGGCCTCCACCTGCCATTGTTTAGAAGAGCAAGAAATGGAATGTGTGATGGCGCTCACAATTTTTTAGAAAACCGTACATTCTACAAAATCTCAAACTACCTATGATGCCCTATGACCGGTCTCGTTATCTTTTGTTTTTAACTCTTACTGGGGCACCCTTGAATGTCGAATGGATCCTGACCAAGTCCAGCTGCCCTGGCCTCCATCTCGCTTCTCTCAGGGCTCCTGGACGCCCTCACCCAACACCCCCCAGCTCTGCCATGGCTGCTCTGAGCCCATCCCTGGACCTGGGTGCAGAATGGCTCCTGACCTCTTGCCTTAGCCCGTGCTCACCTCTGCAATTCTCTGATCCTGTTGTGGAGCAATTTCTGAAATGATCTATTTGGTTCTCCACCTACTACACTAAGGATCTGAACTTTTTGTAAGGATTGGGAATCGTCAGTATGAATTGAACATCTGAACATTTGTACTCTTCTCTAAGACAAGGAACTTCTCATGAATTGTAGCTGGCGTATAAGGCATTTTCCCTGTACTAAATGGCCCTGACCAATATGCACTTGGAGTTCTTGCCTTCTGATTTTCATTTCTGCCATTAAAGTGTTGGCTTCAGACTTCTCTCCTAGCACATCCATACACTTAGCAGATTTTCTGTTTTCAATATGCCGTGGACTAAAGTGACAGATCCCCAAAGGTGTTAGAAGTATGTCTAAAATCATCACAGATGCCCGTGAGTGAGGCCTTGGGTGAGCATTCAGGGACCAGGGCCATGTGCTTCAGTGTATGGACTTTGATTTAGTTTGGTGAATGAAAGACCTTTTTTCTTTTTTTTAATCTTATAAATCCTTTTGGCTTCATCTCTAAAATGGGTTAACCAATCTTGTTTACCTGGGTTTTCAGAGATTTTTAGAAAATAAACATTTTTATTAAAGCATAACTCACATAAAAAAGTACACAAATCATAAGTGTACAGTGAGATGAATTTTTACAGAGTAAACACCTGGTAATCCTTCAAGAAATAGAACATCAGTGCCTCTAAAGCCGCCTGTTCTATGCCCATTGCCAATCCTCTCTACTCCCTACTACTCAAAGATTCATCTTTGAGTCATGTAGCCATGCTTCATTTTCATTGCTGTATAGTTTTCCATTGTGAGAACACACTACAATGTATCCATTCCTCTGCTGGACATTTAAGTGGTTTCCAGGATTTGGGGGTTCTGTTGGATTACACTGCTATGAACGTTGTACATACCTTTTGATGCACTCATGTACACATTTCTGTCATTAATCCCAAGAATGGAATTGCTGGATCATAGGCTATGGCTTAATAAATCCTGCCAATAGTTGTGGCAAGTGATTGTACCAATTTACCTTCCCACCAGCAGCAAATAAGAGTTCCAATTACTCCAAATGATCAAGGAACTTTTTGTTGAACTTTATAATGAATTACTGTGTTTACCAAATAAATGCCCCTAGTAGGAAGCAGTGGAGTGTGGCAGAAATCATGCTAAAGGGAAACTTCATGTGAAGCGTGAAATCGTTCTGGACCATGAAGTCCTCATTTCTGAAGCAGAGCTGACCTCTAAGACCACTTTCATCTTTAACACTGTTGGCTCATTTTGTGATTCTCATAAGAAGTGCTTCATTCGTCATGTACTTTCTGGTGTCTCCCTGTGCCAGGCCAAGGACCAGCTCTGGGTGGACGCTAAACAACAGATGTATACACGTGGGCCATCGATGCCCGGCTTCACGTGCACAGGTTAAACTGGAGCAAGGACGCTGACCGCTGAAGGGTTTAGGAAGGGCGGGTGGTAAATGAGCAAGAGACATTTGCAAGAAGAGTTCTTGGGCCCAGAGTGGTGTTATTTTGTTCCAGGCAGCACGGCTGAGCTACGAGAACAAACGGTCCGAGTCCAAAATGAGCCAAGGACGAGGCAATGCTGGGGCCACTGTGGGCGAGTCACCTCACTGCTTGGCAACACACACCAACCTCCTCTATGCCCGCGCAAGAAGGTGGCTGCTATCACCTCGGTCAGCCTCCTGCCTTTGACGCTCTACTGCATCAAAGTCTGAGCTCTGTCTTTGGGTGGATGGAGCCTGTGGCTGTACTCAGGCCTGAGCTGCACGAGAGACTTGGAGAATGAGGACCTGGCATTTTCAGTTTCTGCAGAGGGTAGGGGCCCCCAAGCTCAGGAAGGGGTTTGGATGTTGGACCACTAGAACTATGGTTACTGATGATAACAAGAGCTGAAGCAATTATCAGTTGTCATCCTTCCTGTAGTTTTTAAAAAAGATCACAGCCAAAGAGGATTAAAACACTCTTTTATTCCTCATTGTTTTCTACAGTTAAAGCTCCCAGGATCCACACCTTAGATCCACGCCACAACTGTCACATGTTCAGAAGTGACACAGCTTCTCAAAACCACGCAAGGTATGCAGGACGACTGGCCGAACTGAGTGGTGGATAGATCAAGGCCCTGCAGCTCCCCACTGTTGGAAGCAGCCGTCTAACAGGGCAAGTGTTTGTTACCAGATCTGGAGCACAGTGGTTCATGATTCCTCGATTAAAGGTTTGTCTCCTTCACACAAAGACCTGATCGGGAGCTCATTCTAAGAGCGATGGAAATCTGCTTCCTCCCACCTGCCCAGATGTGCAGCTGCGCACTGACAAATGCACACATGCCGTAAACACGCCAGTGTCACCCTCCTTAGCCCCCGGCCCTCCTGGCCACTCCCCTGTGGCTGGGCAGCCCGGCTGGCCTTTGTATCACTGAGTCCCCCTCACCCGGCCAGTTATGGACGGTGAAACAGACACATCTTCCTCTCCGCATCCTGACCTTTGCCCTTCATGCTGCTTCCTCTGGCTAAGTTGCCTCATCCTCTCCTGAGGTCTTTTCCCCCGGCTCCTGCTACAGGGCAGGCAGGCAGTCAACTCAGTCTGAGAGGAGAGGACTCGGTGCAGAAGAATACGACCTAAAATATCTCATGGGCAGGAGCCCAGCCCTCGCCCTCCCCATGTTCCTGGTGAGTCACTTTAGGCACTGCCTTCGTCCTGGGGCTCTTTTAAAAAGCAGATGCTCCCAGAAGAGGTCAAATGTTGAGTCATCACCCTTGGTGTCCTACTGTGGGTTATTTTCATCAGATCACTTGCCTCTGAATTAGGAGGAGTCTCTAGGGGTGGAGGGAGCTTCTAAAGGTCAGCAAAGGGAGCCGAGGAGTAAGGAGGAGACCTGCTAACAGATCTGATCCACGGCTCCGGAGTCCCCATCCCTTCCTCCCACTGGCCGCCATGCCCCACCCCACCCCCACCTCCCAGGAGAAGAAGAGGCACAGCTCTAGCTGGCTGCCCCAGAGCCCGCTCCTGTCTGGGCCCACACCTCTAGCCCCAGCCCTTCCTACTCTACACTTTGCTCCTCAAGTCCCAAACCTTCACACCTACCAGCCTGCATTCTTAGCAGATCACATAGTTCCCGTTGCTACTCAGCATGAATGTAGCAAAACCAGATGCTGGAGTGGCCCTTTGCAGTTTACACATATGCTTATTCCATTTAGTCTTCACAACAAATCTGCAGTGGGTGGCTGTTATGCCCACCCCATCACTTAGGAACCTGAAGCTCTAAGAGAATTAAAAATAAAATGAAATAATATCCAAAGGCAGAGGGAGGGGAGGGAGGGGATGTTTTAAGGTCTCACAGCTACATAGTGGCCAAGCTGGTTTGAGTCAACAACTTATCAGATGTCTGGTCGGGTGCTGGAGGACATCAGAGGCATTCCTGGAGGACCCGGTCCCTCTTCCAGTGTCAGGTCTGAGCCACTCAAATCTTTGATCCTTCTTTCTTGCTTATTGCACTGGCAAGAATCTCCAGTGCAATGTTGAACAGAAGGAATGAGAACAGACGCCCTTGTCTTTTTTCTGATCACAGGGGGAAAGTGTTCATCTTTGATCATTAGGTTTGATGTTAGCTGTGGGGTTTTCATAGCTGCCATTTATCAGTTGAGGAAGTTGTCTTCCATTCCTAGTTCGCTGAGAGTTTTTAATCAGGAACAGAAGTAGGATTTTGTTAAATGCTTGTTCTGCATCTACTGAGGTCATCATATAGTTTTTCTTTTTAAGCTGTTAATATGAGGAATTAGATTGAGTACTTTTTGAACGTTAAACCAATCTTGAATTCCTGGGTTAAATCCCACTTGGTTAGGATGTGTTATCCTTTTAGTATATCGTTGGATTTGATTTGCTAAAATTTTGTTAAAAATTTTTGCCTCTGTGTTCATAATTCGTCTGTAGTCTCTTTTCTGGTCATTTCTTTGTTTGGTTTTGGTATTAGGGTAACACTGGCCTCATAGATTGGGTTTAGAGGTATTCCCTTCTCTTCAATTTTCTAGAAGACTTTGTGTATTATTTATTCCATAAATGTTTTGTTGAGTTATCTGTGGCTGTTTTGATACTTTTTGGTTGTGATTTAAAAAAAACATAATCCAGAAAATGTCAACATCAGGCAATCCCAATGGCTATTGTTGGCATCAGCATCCTCACCAGCAACAGACGGCATCATTATTGTTTATCATCCCTGACAACTCCCAGGAGGAATGAAGCTGGCATCTGAATGATGCTCTAGTGGTACTTTATGGGGCTGAAGTCACCAAGAGCTTCTTTCTCATTCGACCCAAACATTTCAGAAACCAATGGCTTCTGAGAATTAGTACTAACTCTTCCAGACCCTGACCTCTTTTGCACCGTTCAGATTCTTTCCATCCTTCCAGGCTTAGCTGGCATCTCTTTTGACTTCCCTGAGAATCTGCCAACACCCCACCCGGGCCTGTCTTTGAATTCCTGTCACCCTGACAGCCAGAACTACCCAGTTAAGCTCTTTGTGAAATTCTGCCTTGTGTTATTTTCTTGTTGATTCTTCTATATGTTTCTCTCTAACTAGATTATAAGTTACTTGTCTTCTATTGCCTCAAACACCTGATGGAAGGTTGACTGATTTAGGGCTAGTCATCCTAGCATATGGCATATGAATTTCTAACTTCACGATGTCTGCTCATTCAGCAGTGGTTCTGCTAGGAAACAAATACGAGGCAGAACATCTTTTCATATACAACTTTGTCTCATAAATGGCTGCATATGTTCTATGTCAGTTCTGCATATCTCCTAAACATTACTCGGTTTTCCTATTGGCAAAATGGCGGGCCTGAGTTTTTTCTCTTCATGAAAACTCTAGAAGCGTGGATGACAAGTTAGTGTCTCAATATCGGAAGCGTTTCTGCCTACATTTCATTACACTCTCCCATGAGGTGGAAAGAGCAAGTCTCATGCTCATATTTTAAGAGGCCTGTCTTTCCAGCCCTGGCCCAGTCCTGCCTCCTCTGAACTTGGCCTCACCACTCGCTCCCTGAGCCCCACACCCATGTGCTGTTCGGTGCCCCAGGCCTCGCGTTGTGCACTTGGCCTGGAAATCCACCGGGGTCTAATTCAAACATATCCTCAAGTGAATACTATCCACTCCCACCCCCAAGCAGAATGAATTACTCAAGTGTAAATTTCTAAAAACCACCTTTTTATCTGCTTCATTGCATTCTATTTTTTAAAATCTTTAGAACTCATTAATCAAACTCATTAATAAAATATGCCTTCATTTCAAAAATAAACAGGTTGGTAGTCATTTCCGTCATTGGAGAGTTTGTCAGTATTTCCAAGGGCAGTGAGCATTGATTCTGAAGGCCCAAACCCAAGCTATTAGCAACTGTTAAAATAAACACGTCTACTACCAAAACCCAGGAAGTCTCTAAGTGCCGTCTTGTCTCACTGTTTTCCAGTTCCCCATTCTTGTGACCCTTGTTTCTCCCTGGCTATAGTCTCAAGTGTCTCTTTGTATCTGCTTGTGGCTCTGCCTTGGCCCAGGGCTCCTGGCTATTTGTTTACTCTTCCCTTTTCTTGCCTTTCTTTGTTGCCTTCCTCATTCTTTTATTGTTGTCATAACTTGGGCTGGCTGGACATTAGGTCACAGCAGGTCTTGGCAATCAGGAGTCAAGAATGACAGTGACTCTCAGAAACTTGCCTAGCCACAGAGCCCAGCCCTAGTGAGGGTGTTGTGATAGGCACCCCACCTTCACTTGTTGCCTCAGAGAAATCCAGCACAGCAACGTGTCTGCATAGTTATTCCCTTCCTACCTAATCCCTGGAGACCAGCTGTCAGCCTAAGACTGAGTAACACACAGCAGGTGCCTTGGACCCCTGGATCCTGAGTGTCAGAGCCACTTAGCTCACACACACACACCCAGGCCCAGTGGGTACCAGATCACAGTGTTGATTAACTGACATTATGTTCATGTGAGTTTTATGTGATTATATTTTTGTTCCCATTAGATTGAAGTTTAGTTTGAGTTAAAATAACACTTTAGCCTTTAAAGTTCCATGTTGCATTTTTGCAACTCTTCAGCTTACCAGCCACTCGGGTTATTTTTTAGTTTTTCTTTAAGTGTTATATGTTACATCCCAAATACGTGTATCTAAATTTGAAAAACACACCTTCCTCTGACAGATGATCTTCCAGGCCCCTCTTCTGCTCTCCTTCCTCCTGCTTTCTTCCCTGGGCGGCTGACCCAGATCAAGGGCAGATCAAGGGCTCTCTAGCCCTCTGCTGCCCAGGTGGGTTTAGCCAACTGGGAACCAGAGCAGGAGATGGGTGGGGGAGAGGGACGTAGGGTATTTATTCCCCTAGCTCCCTCAGGGCAAGGTCACAGCTCTCAAATGGAGGACCCAGGTCCTCTCAAGGAAGACTTCTCTGTGAAGCTTTCTCCTTCTGTAGCAACTCCCGGAGCTGCACCCTCCCTTCTGGTTTCCTGACACCCCACCGCGCTGCTTTAAATTCTTCCTTTATTGAATCCTTCATGAGTTTTCCTAACTCTGTGCCGTTGATTTCCTGCTGATAGATTTCAAAAAGTGTTTGAAATCCTCATTCAGAGGTAATGGCACGTTGACAATGTCAAAGCACATTTGGGTGCAGACACCTAGACATCTCATAACAAAGGAGAGCGACTGACTCAAATGGGAGCCTGGGTGAGAAACCCTTTGATTTCACTCAAGGCAGCTGCATCTCAAATACAGCATTTCTTTAATGCAACCGTCCTGTAATGACCATAAAACTCAGTGTTCTATTACTGCAGATCCTGTGTTGGGACTGATTAATGGCTTTGATTGCAGAATTACTGGGAAATGAGTAAATACCATAAAAGTTGTTTCGAAACGTGTTTTAAATCACCCCTGGAATTTGGAATCATGGCAATCTTAAACTCTTCCCTGCTTCTCCGTGTAGGGAGAAGTCAGGTTGTGGTTTTATGCCACCAGTATAAGCAACTCCATTCCCCTCTGCTCAGCCAGTTGGTGAAGTTTAGGGAAGGCGGGGGTTCAGCCTGAGAACCTAACCTGCAAGTCCCCAGGTGTTCTGTGTCCTGAGGACCTCCTGCATGCCAGGCCCTGCGCCCAGCGTGTCACGTGCAGGGTCTCATCCATCCTCAGCTCAGTCCTGTGATGGGGCTGCTGGTCTTTCTCCTTCACCTGCCCCCAGAC